AATGAGGGAAGAGTAAGTTCTATCATGAACGGGTCATCATCAGAAAATTGCAAGCAATAAATCAGCGAAAGCTGTGCTAAGAACGTTTTCATCTTACTTTTCTAGGTCAACAGCTCCCTCGTACGTCAAATAGTAAAACACTGAGAAGAGAGGTAAAAAAATAACACTTTTTATTAGTAACAGTTTAAATAAGAAATTAGGCGCTTTTGGTTAAAGTTTCTTTGAACTAAGTAATCGAAACAGAGAGCAAAGTCTGAGTCCACTGAGAGCGAGATGCAACATAAACTGTTACCATTGTCTGCTTGCCACGCATCATGTCCTCTTTGTTTATATCCAAATATCAAGTCGATCCAGTTGTGAAGTTTTTCGGAGACATACGGGCACTCAAGAGCCTCACGATTCTTCCGAATGAAATCCCCCGGATCTAATCCACGTGACAATATAAAAAAGGCATGTTAGTGTATTATAAATCCAATGTCATTCATTTACTTCTATAATCAATTAAGACTAACGCTGAATTTACTGATACAAAGTCTCATTTGTCGAAGAAAATTTGTTCGCTGTATATAAAACCGAGAGCTCAGGGAAATATTTTCAAGTTATATAGACCAGCAAATTTCGTTATTGACAAGTTTTTTGTTCGCTAGTCTCATAGTTCAAACAGACGAGTCAGTTGTCAAGGTCAGTCGAGGAATAAACCTTTACATCATTTCATCTACTTTGCCAAGGGATACTTGTCAAGAAGAAAATTTCAAAGAAAACTTCACCAGTCGAATTGCAGCTGTATCTTAATTGGTACAAATCTACTGTCGCTTGTTATTTCAAGTATAACTTGGGCTCTCACTAGTCTATAGCGACATGGTGTATTACAGTCTGCTACGTCTGAAACCTTTCAGAAAGAGGCACTAACATTACTGAATTCCCCTTACCAGCGTCTATAAATCTCTCTTACGACTAGTGCTGAGAATTTGTTGATTAATCAGGACATTTTGTTCCGTGCGCTTATTTTCTTCATTACCAACACCTGTTTGCTGAACAGTATACAGATACATATAATGAGAGCTAAGTTGTTCATCAATTTCGTCCCACCTTTGGCCCAGGCTGGAAGCTCAACATCCATGACTTTTGTCTTGTCCTGTTTGCAGCCCAATGGCAAACTTTGACTGTTTAACAAAAATTCGCCAGATGAATGGAAAAATTCTGGAATCAACTGTTTGAAATGAAAAAAAAGGTTCTCCGGTGAAACATTTTTCAGAACTAAAACAACAACTCCAAATAGGAACTGTGTGACACTTCTCTTTACTCGCTAGTAGAATGTCGTTTTATCGTATATGTTCTTTATTCAATTGTTTTGTTTTATTTCATTATTCTTTGAAATCTTTATATCATCATTTATAGAGCGAGGCAAGTCACGCGCGAGATGAACCAGGAGCGCGGAAAACGCTTCATTTTGCCGCGCTCTTTCCCTCTCGTGTGACAGTAGCATGGTGCTCGTCCCTACTGGCTTTTCATACCTGAATCAGTTTTCTTGATCGCACGCATATGGCAAAAGGTTAAACATCTTTACTGAGCAAGCCTACCTTAAGATTAGTTTCCAATTCGTTAACATATTTCTTAAGAGTGCTACTTTTAAAGAAAAGGCATTAATTTAAAAATGAGGGTTTAAGGAGGAGGGGGAGGGAGGGAGGGGAATCAATTAATTCACTGAACTGGCACAAACCTCTTTGACATCTGCATGTCCCGTCAAAACATTCTCCCACGTTTCAGCAATACTGTAATTCCACAAAACAACACAGCAGTGAGTGTTACAAATGATGATAAGAGACTACGGTCTACATGTGAATGTAGTTGCCATCGACATTGTTTGGACTACCCTTACAACTATGGTGCCATGTCTGACAGAACACATACATCTCTGTAGAGTGCAAATACTGAGTTAGCATTTTTTCTTTTTTCTCGAAAATACTCATCTGTACGCGAAGCTCAAAAGGCGAACGTTCGACGTTTAGCTTTGGCGTCTCTCCCAAGTCCTACTCCCGTTTCAAACCACCCTGTACCTTCCTTTTGAAGTGCACGTTCAACTCCCACCAGAGATTTGACTTATGTTGAAGTCCATCATCACATATTTCAAAATTGCCTCACTCAACTCTTTAGCAAAATCATACCGCCTACACCAAAATGGACTTATTAAATAAGAAATTGTTTTATTTATGCACCTGTTAAATAATCTGTCTGGTTGATCAAATTTTCCTCCCTGTAGGCAGAGCATAAATTCGGGAGCTGTGAAAAGAAACAAGGCCTTTATAAGTACTTTTACGCCCAACTATCATCACTTTCTGACAAAATCAAGTCAACTGTAATCTGCTCTCGTTTATCATCGCTTCAAGCTGAAAACCAATCATTTGATTTTTGCTTTGCTACTCTCTGTGATTGGTTCAGAAAACTCACGCCAATTTCTCAACCAATCAGATGTAAAACGAAAATCAATCACGACTTGGTCGCCCGCGTTTTCCCGCGCTTTAAGCAGTTTTGGTTTTACGACTCTCAAGCGAAAAGCGTCCTACGGCCTAAACTTACCAACTCTAACAAGATAGTACAACACATATCCGGGGGTGGAGTAATGAGATCCGTACAAGAACTTTGGATCAGGCATCTCTTTGCATCGCTCCTGAAAATATGAGTTAAAACATTGATACCATCTCACTCGCTTGATAAACAGGGCCGACTTCGAAAGGCAACAAAAGAAGACAAGTACTTTAGTTTGTCGATAAAGAATGATTTTTTTTCAACTGCAACCTCAATATAAGAATGTCATGTAGTCATGTCAATCAGGTAAAGACGTGTGCGCTTTTAAGAAGAGTTTGCTCAATTCATCGACATAACAGAATTTAAATTCGTCTGTTATTGACAAAATATTAAATTTTCTTCCAAAAGGAAAATATTCTGTGCGTTCATGAATTGAAAACATTTCCTGTAGATGATCATTGCATAAAGAAACAAGGTCTTCAAGTTGTGCATTTCTTATACTTCCATCAGATGCCTGTTTGCTTCTGCACAATGAAAAGAGCACTACTTAGCCGCTTGAGGATACAAATTCTCACAGCATCTCTCAATAATATCATAAATAATGAACATGAAAAAATTACGCGCGTCTGATTGGCTGAAAACGAGTGCATTTTCCATATAAAACGAGTGCAAATTACAAATAGCGCGCGCTGCCGAAATTTCGTCCGTCTTGACTTTCTATGATACGATAATCATGTAAATTATTAACATGCCACAAAATGACTTTGAGTGCAATTTGGGGTAAATAGGCACTTGTAAATTTTTCAAAGACTAAAAATTGCACTTGCCCTACGGACTCGTGCAATTTTGTTGTCTTTTAAAAATTTACTCAGGTTTACTTTTGTTGTTACCTATACTAACTCGAGATGGCAAAATTCATATCCCCAAGCGGCCACACAGTATCCTTAAGATATCGATTCAGCGCATGTCAACACTGTACCTTTAGTTGAGCTAATCTTGTTTCATTCAGAGCTCCTATTGGTTTGGATAATTCTCGGAATGTTTCTCCCTTCTGTAAATCTAAAGACAGAATTCAATTCAGGTTAATGTGTTTACATCACTTTTGATTGTGCAAAGGAGAAGGTCTTAAACATTTGAACTGCCTTGATTGCTTCAGTTACGTTCGATAAGGGATTTAAGATTGGAATGTTACGATATTAAAACAACACAGATGCGTTCTAAGTTCAAATCGGTGAGGGCAGTTTAAAGAGCTACAACTTTTATCCTAAAAACGGAACCACTTACTATATTAAGCAAAACAAGCGAACAGAAATGGTGTAGTAGTTAGAAAGCTGTCAAAGGGCGACTTGCAGCTTGGCTCACACAAACTTACAAAAGAGATCTGTTACGCGTCGGTCTCGAAAATATTTGTAGTGGCGTGAACTGCATCTCTAACTAATAGAGCTGAAAACATACCAAGCTCTGCACTCTTGTAGTCTGATATAACCCAAGGAAATACTGGATACTGTGTGAGATCATTGAAACTTCTATCTGCTAAACTGAAGTACAGGAATACAGTCAGAGAAAACGTGGTAAAGTACTAACCGAGTGACTATTGAACGAGTCACTTACAGACTTTCAACGAGTGTGATAAAGCTAAGATAATCGCAATGACCAATCAGAACAGGGAAAAAAATCAAAGGAAGCCAGTGAGAACTCTAGTGAATAGATGTCAACGGCCTCAAGAGCGGGAAAAGGCGGTCAATGTGGGAAAAGAGGGGAAAGTAAAGTAGAAATACGTTTTACTATTTAAGACTTGAGGTTTTAATAACCTGATTCCTAAATATACAAGTGCAAGAGTTATATACAAAAATGAATAAAGAAGCTATACAAACGAATACACACAAAAGACATACATGAAACTATTAAACTAAAATTATGGTAATTCCAAGTTCGCGGCAGGTCACTAAGAGAGTTCTTTGCAAGAAGTATTTTAATTACGGTATACAACATTAAATTACACAAAGCTCGACAACTTATTCAAAGTTTATGACACTAATTTGACTAACCTATTTAGGTACATTAAATATTCAAAATTTGAGATCGCTCCATTCTGCCATCTTAACGTCATGTTCTCCTGTCTCGTGTCTTCTAATTCAACTTCTGCAAAAAAAAGAGGTGCATCAGTTGGTGAGCTGTTGACCTTGTTCTTGGCTTCTTGGCAATCTTTTATGATACCTGTGGGTAAACTTCCTCAAACCTTAGCTAAGGTTTTGGTTGAAAGTAAAATAGAATGGCTTCAGGTATGTTTACAACCTTAACTTCATTTTCTAACTTAGTTGAAAAGACCTTATCCTAGACAAATGGGTGCCAATGACCTTACGCTGATGCATGCCGGGCCAAGAGCAATGAGAGGCAGCTGTTGAAAGTAATCACGCAACAAGTTCGTCACGCAGTAACCTTGTAACGCAACACGCTAGTCAAACAACGTCTGTGAAGTAGACTAATGAATTTTTAGGCTAATGTTTAATATAAAAAAGTGATCACTGAACCTGGTTGCTGAATAATTTTGTCATAAAACAAATCCCTCTCTGTTGGAGAGTTGAATATCAGATACATATGAGAACCATCTGCTGAAAACACCTCAACCCCCTGGAAAAAATAAAATAAATTTGGAGAAACATTGTTGAGCATAAGATAAACATGGAAAGATAATTACAATGATGTCAACAAAATATGTATTACTTTTGAAGACAACTTAATCTGCATCAACCTCGCACTCTGTTTGTGCTTCACAATCATAAAATTTATAAAAACTTAACCAAAATGTTTATCAGGAAATGGGCAAGTCATTTAGCATTGTAGATGAAACAGTTGACAGTTTAATTGCCCACATTCATAGCATATATCATGCACATTTCTTTCCAAGGAACATACCCCATTGTAACGTTCAGAGAAATTCAATGTAAAGATGATATACGCACCACATGCCTGAGAAGATATCTCCGTTTGACAACTCTACAGATTTTAGATAATTTGCATTTCACAACTGGGCACTGAAAGTAAACAAAATTTTGATTTTAAGAGCAATCATATATCCAAGTCAGACAAGAAATCTAGAATTGCGCTGGTTAGAGAAAGAAGAGTTTTGAAATTTGTTATTTGATTTGTTATTGTTGTTGTTGTTCTTGAACTTAACCTTTCATTTAAGTATTCAGACAAGATGTTCCCGATGTGATTACCATATTCAAAGTAAAACAACATTGTTGTAATGAACAGCTGGAAGAACTTACTGGGTCAGCATTGTTAAATGGCTGAAAGTATAGTCTGGAAGAAGTTAACATGATACGGCCTGGATTGCAAACAAGAGGGGTGATTCGTTTTGCTGAAATAACAGACAAAGGAAAAAATCAGCACTGAGTTTTCAAAGGAGTTGGATAAGTATGGGGAGGGCTAAAATATAAATCTCAGTCCATTGTAAATCTCAGACATCTATTTCATTCTTTTTATTTCAAATAGCAACCTTTTCAAAAGAAACTGTCATTTGATATAACATTTTCTACTATTCACCTCTCCTTTTTCTCTTGTTTCATGGAAATTTTCTTCCATTTTCTTTACTATATATGCTATTTTAACTTCATTCATAGGCACATTGTAATTATAGTGTGAAATGCAGAATTGAAAACCTTTGAATCTTCAACCAGTTGATTTTAAGTTCTATGAAAAACTAGTCTTTTGCAATGTAGCTTAGAAAAAGATGATGTTGCCTTGGCCAGCATCAACACTTCCTCTTATCGTATTTTTTTAACATCATATCGAAAAAAATAATCAGGTGGTTTTACTACTAACAGCAGATGCTGACTGACTTACCCATTGTTTCCATCACAATTTTCTCATGTAAATCTTCTAACCTTTAAAAGCCAAAAATGTAACATTTACAAAGTAATTATGGTTCACTTTAATAATTACAACATTCAGCATTTAAGCAAGAATAGAGTTCTTTGGCATTTACAAAGCCTTATATAAACAATTGTCCCAGCCCCCCAGCCCTCCAGCCTTCCAGCCCCCCAGCCCTCCAACCCCCCAGCCCTCCAGCCCTCCAGCCCCCCAGCACTCCAGGCCTCCAGCCCTCCAGCCCCCCAGTCCTCCAGCCCCCCAGCCCCCCAGCCCCACCCCTACCCCAAATTGTTTAGATGAGGTTATGTTCACATGTAGTCATTCATCATTACCCACAGACTCATCAGATACCTTTCAGAATTTTTAAAGCGAACTCATCGAGCATCAAAATTATAACATTACCAATAATTAAAATTCACTCACCAACTTGTGTTAAAACTTACTCTTGCCTGTCTTGATTGAACAATTGAATTGATCTAAGTAAAGAGGAGTTGACCAGAATTTCATTACACAGATTTAACAGTACTCTACTACAAAATTGTTATAAACAGCTACCAATACTTTTTAGTAGTTAAGACCACTTGGTATTAAAACATTGTATGGGATTCCAGTTCATTGTAGTGAACAAGAAACAGCCTCCCTAATAACTAATCTAACCACAAAGTTAACTCAGACTCACCATAGCTTGTTGATCAGCTGGCATGAGAGTAGTTGCTCTGTGAAGCTGTTAGAAAGGACAACAAATAATTATCCATTAAAATTACTGCTAATAAAATAACAAAATAATCACCTTGAAAAATAGAGACAGTAAAGAAATTCATTGTTGTATGTACTTTCACTTAGTAATAGACAATTCAGAATAAAAATTATCATAATTGTGAAAAGGAGACAACCCACCTGTTCTAACTGGGGTAATACAAAATTTAAAGCTACAAAATTGAACGAAAATAAATACTTGGCTTTTTCCTATAAGAAGAGAAAAAAACAGTAAATCACAGATTAATTCATTCAAGATCAGTTTGTTCTAACAAGTGAGATATTCACATATTAAGAGATGTGGTACTCACTCTTCTAAATGTATAAGGTGCTATTGTGTTGCCTTCCTTCATTTCTATGACCTGCTTAGACTCAATTGCCAGAACATCTCCTTTGGTATCAATTCTGTTGGAGACAAAACAATCTTAATTCTTTCTATCTTCTTCAAAAAAAGATGTCTTTCCCTGGCAATGTCAACTCACCTTGACATGAGAGATCCAGACCAATGAGTTATTGCATTACATTCTCTGAGAGGAAACTAAACACAGAGTTGAAAATTAAGGTAAAGTCGGGAAAACCAAAGGAAACCAGTTATATGTAGTTTCAAACCAACACTTAAAGAATTGAGGGTTGTTAAATAAAATTATCCTTGGCATATAAAACAGCCTAGGCACCTGACCATATTTTTATGTAATTTTTTCAGGTAGCCATGAAATGATTATCACAAACATGCAATCAATACAAATCAAGCTTAGCACAGGTGAGAAAACTTACAGAAAATTTATAAACTTCAAAACCAGAGATAACTTTAACTAAATGTATACCTTTAAAATTGGGTAAGATGTATCTATGGGATCAAAAAGAATAGACTTGGAACATATCTTTAATCTTCCTCTTTGTTTCCTTAAAAAAAACATTCAAAGATGACAATACTTCAGTAAATAATTAAACCAAATAGCACATTCTCGTGATAATTACCATGTTTTCCTTACAATGAATGCTATCTGAGACCTATTGTCTCATCCAGACATCATGTCTGAGTGATAAACAACTGTATTCTATTCCATTCTATAATTCTAAATTAATAATCATATAATAATGACAGCTATCTAAGGGGAATCAAGGATTTGAATAAACAGTTCTACTGAAGAAACCCTTGTGGGAGATGTAGTGGAGCCTTACCAAGCTTACAGTGATATGTCCCTAGGCAAAAAACTATCAAAGTGCCTCTCTCCTTCCATGATAATAAATGAATCAACAAACTGTCATCAAAGCCCGACAAAATAGTGGAAGGATGACCTGTTACAGATTGCAACCAATCAAGGAGCAGCATCTTAATGACTTATGTTTTGATCACTATGGTGAATAAAATACAATACAAATCAGTTGTGGTTGCTAAGCTGACTCTTAAACTACCTGACCTGTGTAACTCCACTGTAAGAGAGTTTAACCGATCAAATACATACATGTGTACCTTTTTATTGCCTCCTCTTCAGAAAATTGATTTGGGTAATGAAAAACACTAAAATCTTCAAAGTAGATCTCTCCAGGCTCTAACAGGAGCAAGGAGAATCTAATAGAAAAAGTGAAAAATGAAACAAATTAAACGGTGGATTAATAAAGCAATGAGAAATTAATATATTATTAACTAAAATTAAATTTGTCATCAAATTCAAAGTTGTGTATTACAATATTAGTGACATAACCCCTTAAATAATTTTATCGATATCATAATTATGGAACAGTGTGTTGCAACTGTAAGTAATTAAGACAGTATAAACTCTTTTCCTCACCAGTTAACACCGAACTGCAACCCAAGCTTACTGAATCTCAACTTACAAATTAGTGACCATATTAATCCTTTAACTCCTTAGATCTCATTAGTAATTCTCCTTACTATCTACCATACAGCTCTTGTGATATTAGTTTTGAGAATTTGGTATTGGATTAACTGATAATCCTCTTACTGATATTTCTCTTTATTCTCATCACTTGTCTGCTTGATATTGTATTGATATCATAAGGAGAAATTCTGTCTTGGTCACTACTGTGAGTTAAAGGGTTAATTTGAATAGGCCACATTTTTAAGTGAAAATCATCCTTTTTTTAATACCTGTTCCTGAGGCCAAGAAGACTAATTTATTCTATTTAAATACACAATTACCACATCTCCAGTTTTTAAAAGAAATCTGAAGGATTTTTTTCTACAACTTTAAATATGTTTAATATTGAATAGCCAATGTAAAAATTTCGGTTCTATCTCAAATTTCAATTTGGGTTCATAAACACACTTTGACCTTCAAGGAAAACTAAGACACTCATTCAAACATCTGCGGCATGCACCATCAATAATTAATAATAGATCTTAAAAAAACTTATGTGATTTTGGTTACATTTAATTTCCTTATTTCTATCATCATTACTGATTTCTATCATACACTGCATTTCAGAATGTCATAATTATTTTGGATTGTACATCATACATCAAATCAACCCCAGACATAAAGGTGGGGGTAAATTTTTTTGTGTCTAGACACATTCTATATGTACCTATCACTACTAAGCAAAGCATTTCACTTGCTTAAATAATCCTCAGATAATTAATCTAATGCCCTATCATACACTATGAAATTCTCCGACCGTAAAAAAATTCTTCTTTCGAGGAAAGTGAAATATATTTACCATAGCAAAGATCAAAACAAGAATGCAGATGAGACATAAAATTTTTTTCCAAAGGGAAATTGTGAAAGTAGGCAAAAACTTCATAAATCCAGTGTTCTTAGGTCTGTTAATCTAAAATCTACCTCAAGAAATCTCAATATTTGATCAGTGATATCAATAATATTGTCAAAACAAATTGATAAACCCCACGGATTATTCTTGAAAGCTAGATATGTAACCTTACAAATTAACAGGCCGCTAAACTGGTGACAAGATCAATCTTGAAGATACAGTACCAAATTTTCCCATTAAATCTTCCCCACATCTTCAAGAAAAATGAGAAATTTTAAGTTGAATTAGCAGAAAACTAGCGCAAACACTAAACCAGCTGTTTTTTTAACGGCGTCAATAATGATCAATAAACTTTTGAGTTTTACCGCACTATTCTTGGCTTTAATACAAACGTTGTAAAATAAAGAAAATGGCAGAAAACATCCAACGGAAATTTTGAATTAAACCATGTAGGCTTTACCTCTCTTTCAAAGGAATTGTATGGGGCTCTAATCCAGAACTTGAGTTGTATGAAAGCTCCGCCATTTTGTAAATAAGTAAAGCTCTTGGGCCCAGTCCTAGGCGCGCCTTTCTATTCTTCTCTTCTTTGACCTCGGCCCATGGCGGAAATATTAGTGCGCGTAAAAGTAAATTCTGCGACAGCTTTCTCCTTTACGAACACGGAATAAAATTATTCAAAAAAACCTTCACTTCTGATCTCACACCGGAAATGGTCGTCCATTACGATTCAATGAATCGAATTTGCCGTTTCAAGGGGGAAATTCCAGTAAAGTTACTGCTTTGTTATCATGGCCCGCGTAAAAACGCCATTTTCACTCCCTCGTACTAAACTAGAAACTGCCACCGCTCGTTTGATGGATTACCAACAAACTAACGAGCTTTAAAGAACCTCCAAATTACTTTCAAATATTTAAAACCACTCGACATTTTCGAAACCGAGCGTGTTTTACCACCAGTTGTAACCTAAAAACCTACAAAACCGTAACTTCTGTAAACTTTACCCAACAATTACCGTTGCCGCTTACCTCGTGAAGTAATCTTCGTAAAAAACACTTTCACTATTTGGGTATTCTCGACCACAACTGCATCCAGCCGAGTTCTCCGAATTTCCCAATCGCTTCCGAACTTTATCCCACAACGCCATTGATTTATCGGCTATTGTGTGAACACTACCTCGTACATTGCTTCCGATACTTGTCGCAGCCCTGCGGAGCGTGAAAAAAGCAAATTATCGCGTTATAGTTCAGCAGATTTCGAAACACCGCGCCATGGATCAGAAACTGCGCTGAGTTGGTTACTTGTAATGGTCTGGGCTGTTTTCGTACGAAGACAATACGCAACAAGCTAATTTGCATACGTCAATGCGGGATGGAAATCAATCTACCAGCGAATTTATTAAACCCGGTCAAAGAAACTTCTAAAAGCGTTTATAAAGTGCGGTTATGTTTAGCAATCATTTATGCCACATGTGGCAATTTGTCTTGATTTGTTGTTCAGTGGTCTGACCAATTGAATCGCGAACACTCTCAACCGACAAAAGCTGTTGGCCTATCGCCTCTTTTGGAAAAGTTAAACTACACACTGAAATTCTTCTTTGTCGCTGCCGTGCACTATTCTTCAGCTTGTTTTTCTCCCAGAGAATAAACAGCGACGGGATTCTGCATTTGGTAGACAGGAATATTCCAAAACAGATGGTTTAATAGCAGATGGTCTTCGGCTTAAAAAATTAAACCATAAGCAATTTCGCGGAATGCACTTGCAAACATTTCACCTTTTAACAACCGCATCCAACCGTAAGTTGTTTTTCCTTTGAGGCGCAAGGTTTTTTGGAAACCCATGGTTCATCACAAAAGCGCTCGTCAAAGCAACAAGTTGACAAAAAAACCACCACAGCGATAAGAACACAGCAGATAAAATTGTCATAAGAAAGAGTTGTTATGGTGACTCGCGATCTGGCAGGTGGTTATAGGTGTGAGATCATTAAAATTTTGATCTCAACCGTACAATAGGTTTTCCCAGAAACGCCAACTTTCTCTTGTCATATTTTCAGAAACTATCGAATTCATATTAAGAAATGTAGGTTTATCAAAATCGTATTTCGCTTTCATCTGCGAGTATCGATCGGTTTGGTTCTACATTGATTCTCAGTCCACAAATTGAGGTAATTTCCCTTCATGATATAAAGAAAAAGTTCTTAATGATCAAAAGGAACTGAAATATCGTGCAAATTTTCTCTTGTGGATCAAAAATGCAAATAATGATCTTTCCTGCCCTTGAGGCGATTTTAAACAAGTCCTTTTTTGGTAATATTAACAAGCAGATAAGTTTCAAATCATTAAAACAATTTTATACATTATTGCAAGTTTTGGAAGGAAGCACCTTCTCGAAATCGTGACTTTTTGAAGGAAGTTTTTGTATGTGATAAATAAACATTTCCTTTTCTGTTGTCGAATTGATCAAAACAAGCTTTCGAGTTTAATGGAAAATTTGGCAAGTAACGATTAATAATTTAGAATAATCGGGTTTGAAAAGGAAATAGTTATGCTTAGCATGAATATTCACTGCGTAAAGAAGTTTATTATGTCGGTCATGCCAAAACAAAAAAGAAAATTTTATAAAATGTTTACCAACGTAATCTATAAAAAAAATACAGGCCTGTGATATAGTAATGAGCTGGAAGTTTTGCTAACTCTTTCACGAACGCGATTTCATTCTCCCGTTTTGTAGATGCTCAAAGAAACTGCGTGAAGGAAACGCGTAATTGATAACTGAAAACCTTCAAAGTGAATTGATAATTTCCATTAAAGAACATATTTGTATGTATAAACAAAGTGAAGAAGATTGGACTTCGTGAAATTGATATTTAAGCTAAATAGATATTCAGATATTTCTTTCACAGAGGCAACCCTCTGTTGAGAAATTTTCGATTGATTTCACAAAAAGGAAGTAAATAAGAGTTTTAAAATTTATGTCACATAAATCTCTGTGTCCTGCTAAATAAAATGATTGATGAACCGAACTGCTGACTGATGATTTTCGCAATCAACTGAAGCAAAAAAGATTGACTGATATGAAGAAGAAATTTGGGTATGCTTGTCACCCATGAAATGTGCCGAGAATGTCACGGCGTCTTACAAAATACGATTAAGTTCTAAATTCAAACTGCTTCCACAAGGTTGATTAAAAAACAAAACAAAACAAAATTGAAACTTGGTAGATCGTGTATTGATTATGACAGCTAGCTAGAGAGAATTTCCGTTGTGAAGACAGAGTTGCGTTTTTGAGATATTAGCTCAGTGAAAGAGCACTGGTGCAATAGTGTTGCCAAGGTAGTAGACGACAAACTTGAGTCGTTCCGCAGACCAAGCCAACCTGGCTACTGCGGACTCGTATGAAGAGTCTGTAAAACTTTTGAATTCAAAGTTAAGTTTCCAAAATATGACCCTTCGAAGCTGACCATTAGCTTTATTTTATAAAAATTAGAGTACATCCATCCTACACCTGAAGCAAACCATATCGGACTCAGTGTGTCCTGTTAATAAATGATCAAATAAGATTCATTTCCTACCGAAAAACGGCCGAAATTTTTCTTTCAAAAGACAATCGGTCCTTTGTCGATAATTTTTCACGAACGCTCATCTTCGCGTTACGTGTCTCACCTAAAAATCTTCAGGACTAATTTTTCGCAAAATGTAGGAGCCAATAAAACAAGCCAACTGCCTGAATCACGTGAAAATGAAATTGACCTAGTCACGGTAAGTCTACATTGGCCACACCTCATTGGTTGCGTGAGAAGGTGGCGCGAGTATTTTAGACCAATCACGAAGCGAATTAAAGTAACTGACTAATACAATCCTTATTCCAGCTGTTCAAAGGCTGGTTAGCGCTAAACCAAGGTTAAATTTTAATCCAGGTTTCTTTATCTCTTTGTTCAAAAGCCTCTGTCGGATAATTTTCTCTATTACTTGAAGGGCATTCAATCATCAAATTGTAGACAAAAAAATTGTACTGAATTTTCTCGTAAAGCAGTCGCGACTTAGTTACAACTTTACCTTTGATCTAAAGCGCTTTCCGATTGAATGTCGTAAAACCAAACCCAAAGAAATCACATCAGCCGATCAAAAGAAAGGAAAATACCTTTAAAAGGGCTTTACTTCGGGTAGAAGAGCACAGAACACGTCATCACAAGGGAGTGAGCTGCACATGAAATTACCAACTCAGAGTAACCTTGAAAAGTGAAAATGTGTGATTGGAACTGCCCACTTTAACCACTCAAATTTTTTAGCTTTAAAATACTGAAAAGTGTAAATATTAGCTAACTCACATGCATGTTAACTTGGTAGTCTAGTAATGTGGAAATCTGGAAATTAGTAAATGCGGAAACCTTAAAATAGGCAGACAAGTTTCTTGCTTACCCACATTTATCATAACTTGGTCGTCTGAAAACGGGAAAATCTGGTTATGTGGAAATGGGGAAATCTGGAATTGTGCAGATAAGTCTCAAGCTAACTTACATGTACCTTTACTTAGTAGTCTGGACGAGTTAAGATACAAGCGAGTAAGCTTAAGACTAATATGCACATTTCCAGATTTCCACGTTTTCACATTTCCAGACTACCAAGCTAAGATAAATGTGGGTAAACTGAAGACTCATAGTTATATTTCCAGATATTTCCACATTTCCACATTTCTATAGCACGTAGTTAACATAGATGTGAGTCAGCTTATATTTACACATTCCAGTTTTTATAACCTAAATAACACAACTAGTAAATGTGGGCACAACTCCAAATTACACATTTTTACGTTTCAAGGTTAATCGAAGGTGAATAATTATATATGCAGCACATTTCATTGTGATGACGTTTTCTGTGCTCTTCTACCCCAAGTAAAAGTCTCTAGGAGCTAATGAGAGCTGAAAGTGAAAACAAACAAACTGCCTGAAGCGCGGGAAAACACGGACGGCGACTAAGTCGCAGTTAGGTTTAGTTTTGCACCTGAATAATTGAGAAAGCGGCGCGAGTTTTCTGGACCAATTACAGTGTACATAAACAACAACAAAGCAATCCCGGATTATTTCGGTTTTAATTTCAAAATCGAAAAGCGCTAATACAAGACTTATGTTATCCAACATCGCTAAAAACTATTTGCTTTCGGAAATATTTTGGTATTAATTCTTGTTACATTCTGATTTTCATTCTTTCTTTTGTAGGGACGTATTGTATGAATTTTGAACCTAAAGTCAGTTGGGTACAAACTACAAAATTGTTGCGATTCTGTTTTTGTTGCGAACAACACTGAACAACCGTTTGATTTGTTTCCTATACAGTTTGACCCCTCTATCAATTGTACTTTTTCCAATAGCATAGATTTTCAACTATCTTTGAAATGAGAGAGCATCATTAGCGAATGTGATCCAATATTAAATAATAACATAAGGAGGCGATGGACCCTTGTGATCGTTAGAAAGGCCATTAGCCTTATTTTGAAAGCAGTTTCGGTCGCAATCGTTTTTTATGCTAAAAGTGAAATCGAAAAAATGGATCAATAAAGAATTTGTTCAAAATATTTAGCACACAAACCCTGATACTTATCATCCGCCTTTCATCACTTGCATTGACTTTTCAGACTTAATTTCGACAATCAGATTAAAATTACCCAAATTTTGCGCATAATTTTCCCACAGTTTCCTTCAAATAAATAAAAACCTGCTTTAATTTACAAGTTATTCTTTAAGGATAAAAGCAATGAAAAAATATGGCGACATGAGAACAGAGAAAGCCGAGCAAATCTGTTAGTATCGTCTTTGATTCAGAAAAATGTAGGGATACAGTACACTAATTCGCTAAATTAACATATTCCCAATTGTGTCGATACATTAATTCATCCAAGTTCTTGAAATCGAATTGCAATTTGTTATCTAAACAAGTATTATTTAAGGCCTTTTGATGTCAATCTTAAAGCAAGTTTTTTCCTCTTTATCAAATGATATCGATATCAATGCAAATGAAGCGATCATGATTTCCGATGCGCTACTACGGGCGCTATCAGCGCCCTGAAAGCGGATGTTTTTATTTTATCAGCAAACATAAAATTTTCTAGTACTTACAGACAAGGAAAGCAATCTCCAAACATTATTCAACCATTCGTCTCAATATCTTGTTCCACTTGGCTTTCTGTTGGCGAAAACCTGTTATTCAAAGGTTGATTCACGCTTACGTCTGGGAAACCGCTAGTTTCCTCCCATCAGGAAACTGGTACTTGTCTCGGTTTGCTTGTCAGTTCTCGCTTTTCCCTTGGCCAGCAAACAAAGCAATTCTTAGAAAAAATTTATGGGAAGATTAAGGCACGATGCCTCTTGTTTCAGCAAGATATCAAATGCTCTTCACAGCCAAACGTATTAAGAAAAAAACATCAGTTGTCATTCACTGCTCCTTTGTAAGACGTGTTCTGTCGCGGCTGTTCCGTAACAAACTTATCTCATCGATTCTTACGCTGATATATTCACAAAACTGATGTAAATTATCCCACGGACAACAGTTTTCCTTTAAGCCAAGGTGCTATCACATTCACGTTTTTAATTTTCACGCTTTTTCACGTTTTTTCACGTTAACACATGAAACGACCACGACGTAATATTCGACAATTCAGAAGTAAGCAGTACGAATATTTGAGCCGAGCGACAGTTTATCGAAACATTTATCCTTGTTTGTATTTTGAGAGGTCTTTTGTGATTGCTTTTTTCACTGTCAGGAAATCTTCCGGTAACTAACGATATACGAGCATTATGCATAATAATATTGTCGAGAAATGGACCAATTACATCAAGCGCTTTTTCTTTTTCGATGTCGAAAGAAAGCAAAATTTGGATTTCCAAAATAAATATTGAGACAAAAACCAGTGATAACTCGAGTTTAATCAGCGGTTGGGGAGATTTTCTTAGGACTGATTTATGAGAAGCCCTTAGGCTCCTTGAAAATAACAATAAATATACAACAGAATGAAATATTAAATGAATAAAACGACTTGGCGTTCGAGAAATAACTCTTTCACAGTCGAATAGTCGCATCAATTTCATTTTATTTCAAACCCGTTAATGTTAGGTTTGAAACCGACTGAATAAATGAACCGATGATGAATTTGTTTCTCCCTCAGGGTCAAATTATGTTTGTTAATCAGGCCTTGTCAGACGAAGACTAATAGATCCTTCTAACTCTATGGCAATTGATTTTGCACAGAGTAGGAAAATTAAATTCAGATTTCTTTTTCGCAATTTCTTTTGCGCTTTCTAACATCTTTGATTTTTTCTCTATATAGATCTGTAACACCCGATTTTCATTTTTTATTCCAATTTTTATCACTTAGATCAAAATCGGAATTCGTATTCAGTTTATACCCATGCCCTCTTTCATCTAACGCCCTAAAAACGGATCTGAATTCTGTCTTTCTTTCTTAGTGTCCATGTGTAGGTGAAAAACGGCAATCGCATTGTTTTTTTGAGCTACGCAATTAAGAAAGGATTTTTCGGTTCCGCACTCCGTGGACCCAGGGAAGCTCGAAAGCGTCTTGCTTTGATTGGTACAAAAGAACAAATATGAAGGCTTAGATTGCGGTCTTGATGAACAATCTGTCCGCTGTTTTATTTGTATCATTAAACATAAATCTATTGACGATTATCTTGTCATGCAAACCAAGAATTGATACCTGAAACTTAAAGAATGTCTTTGTGAAGCGTATAACTTTTTTTGCAATTGTCATGGAGTAAATTCCAAATGAAGTTTAAAGCAAGGGTTTTTGTCGTGTTCTTTCTTTTAATTCGCGTTTTTCGGGCGCGCGCGGTAAAAGCGAGGCGAACACGAAAAGGACGCACGGGTGTCTCACCCCTCGTGCTTTCCTCGCGCCAGTTTTAGTCGCTTGCCTGAGAAGAACCCTAAAATATTGCAAAATATAGAGATAAAATAGAATTCGTCTCAGCACAATGGCGTCCCATAGCTCAATTTTGGCCATTCGCTCAGACACTTCTTTATGTACCGCACCACAATCAAAATTCATTGCAACTATGCACAAGAACATGCCTTGCTCAAAAGAAAGTAGTTCGGAAATTCCGTTAGCATTTGAGTTGCACAATTTACAAGAATAGAACAATTTACAATCAAACGTCTGACTCGGAACACTCGGAACAAGGGAAATGAATTGATGGAAAGACGGCGCTTTCGAGCTTGTCATGATAACTTTTCGAAACATAACGGATGGATCTCTTAGGTTGCTTAGAGTTTATTTCATGTTCTTATTTAAAACTGTGGAAGACAAGATGTTATTTTCACCTATCCTCCATAGAGGACGTACAGTGGAGGATGGATACTTTATTTTCAACTTATGTTGCTTAGAAACAACCAGTATTTATTTTCTTGGAAAAATAATATTCAAATTTTTTTGTTCTTTTTTTCCAAAGTCCGTTTTTACTTCATAAAATGACTACATCCAAACTTTCACGATTTATAACTTCTTCCTTTTGTAAAAATTTCTTCACTTATTATCTTTAATAATAAATTTAATGTTAATCATGATTGTTCACTGATCACCTACGACTTGCTCTCACACCTTAGCCGTGGTCAACCACTTGTACCCAGGACCCAGGACCATTAGACAAACTATCGTGAATTTCAGCTGCAACAGTGACTCATGAATTTCAAATGTTCCAATGATATTGTAACTTAAACAAATCGGACTTTACCTTTGACGTATTTACCGGCGCTTTTGCTATCTAAACCAAACCCAATTTGCCTTTTGCACATTTTCCCGCGCTATGGGAACCTATAAAAGTCGGTCAATTGTGCGGGCCATATTTCATTGACAACTAAATTCAAAAAGTTGTTTGAATTGAAAATTCCCCCTCTATTTGAACCTAAAGATACAATAAATATCTTGCTAACCTCGTTTTCTCTATGTACTCATTGACTGAGTGGAAGGCTCTCCCGCCCTGACTTGACCTCGAGCGAAATATTTTCCCGTCAGGCCCTCCCACTCAATTAATAAGCATTTTATCATATGCCCACTGACTTAATTTTCAAGACTTTGAAAATTTTGTTTTAACCGAAATAGGACGTGATAGACAGGCGCGGGCGGAAAAGATGTTCTATGTTAAAATTTTCCCTCTAATTTTTTTGAGTCAGAACAAGAGATTCACAATTCATCGAAAAACGCGACTTATTTTCTCATTTCTGTTCACTGCTGTCACTCAAATTTTGCAACAATAGCGAAGAAGATATAGATATATTTTTTTTTGTGTCTTTTCTTTTTTTGCAACAAAGCCGTACAAGCGCACTAGCGCCGGACGGCTTTTTCCGTACCGGCTCACGCCAACACGTCCGGCGATACTTAAGTCATCTTCCACTTTGGTTTTCTATGGGATTGCGAAAGCGGAGCCGGTACGGGTCGTATGATAATATAAGGAACCTCGATAATATAAGGAACTTCGTTTTTTTCCGCTCGCATTTGTAGATCGCGCGCTTCGCGCTTGGGTCATAAATCCAAGAGAAACTGAAACCTCTGTCCGAAACTTACAGTACGGACAAAGAAAACGAGGTTAGTAAGAAACATGTAAGTTCCCGCGCTGTTACACACTAGACCGATTAAAGACATGTTCAGTCGCTGAAAACTCAAGAAACTCAACGCAGACGAAACATGGTTCATTGAGAGATTTATTTCATTTGAAATCATGTGTGAGATCCTACAAACATATCCAATGTCCAAGCAGAAGATCCAGTTCAATTCAAACTAAATATCCACATCGTTTGTTTACTGATAGCACTTGTTTACTGCTATGTCTTCACCATAAAGACTTGACATAACTCTCAGAAGACATGACTGAATGTGCTCTATTTGATCTGGAGGGGTATATTCATCATATGACGACCTAAAGTCAAATCAAAGTGACTGAGTAAACCTTGTTAACTGTAAATTTATAGATAAAAAACTGTTAATAAAGATTTCTGAAGCCTTTCTAGAGAATAAGAAAAACATGAAATGGCAGTGTTAAAGTAATTCTGATACTATTGGGGTATGAGGCTGCCTTTTCGTTCTCTATCTTCTCTCCTAAGACCATCTGAGAACCGAGCCAATAAAAAGTACAAGTCTATAAGTCTGAGACGAGATCGACCTATCATATCTGCTGAGATTATTCTTGCCTAGAATTTACACTTAGCTCCATTACAGTCTTACCAGATGATTTCTTTAAGGGAGGGTGAGCAATTAAAGTTGGAAAAGGCAGAGGTGGTTTTTATTTTTTCGATATCCCATTTCTCACTTGTAACCTTTTGTTCCCTTCAATATGCTTAGCAAGACATCCACTGGTCAGGAGAAACAGAGAGCAACATGAATGGAGTAGAAGTATTGCTACCAAATTTCTGAGTGGGCGGGGGAGGAGAGAGTAGTACAGTGGCCCTGGAAAAAAGGTTAATTTTTGTTAGGTTTACTATGATATGGGAGAGAAAACAACAAAGGTAGGATAAAACAGCATCTGTACCTAGCCATAGTGATGAAGGTTGGCTTTGGAAAACATTTCAACATGGCTGCCATAGATTGCATCAGACTGTCAATCATTTCTGAAGAACTCACATGATGAGGAATATCTGCTGACATCCCAGAAAAGTGCAGCTAAAAAGGTCAAATAGGTTAATAGGTATTTCTTAAAAATTAGTTTATAATTATTTTTCAAAAACTTCAGTGAGGACACAAAATAAATGTTCTCATATTGCCTAGTTTCTGTTCAGTGGTAAACCAGAGAGAAAACAAAATGTAGAGAGAGAATGTGAGTGACATAATCACCTGTGCCTCACATTTTATGCTCTTTTACTGAACAGATGCACAACAGTAACATGAATCTAGTTTCTCACTCAGACGTTTAATAAGGCCCTTTTGCAAATAAACAAGTTTAAGCAGAATATCGTTGCAATGTTGAACTAACAGGGAAAAGCTGGGCAAATCATGTTGATCAGGAGATATGAATATGTCGGCATTATGAACCTTTTCCTTTATTCTCTGTAAACAATGAAACAACGATATCTTTATTTGCTGTTCTTCATGACTAAAAATTTTCTGCAGCTGTTTGGACTTACCCTTGCCCACTCACTGCCCTGGGACTCTAACCATACTATTATCAACAAAACATTTATTTTATACATAGAAAGCAACAATACCATTTCATAATCAGGCTCCTCTTTTTTGTGACTTTTGATCGTTTCTATTAGTGTAACCAAATCTTGGTTCAGACAACATTCAGATGATGTTTCAACACATAACTTCTCCTCACTGCCAGGAGAAGATTGATGTTGCAGATATGAATAAGTTGCCTCAATTTTTTCCACTTGAGCTTTCCGTAATGTTACACAGCTCTCTAAATCCTGAGGATTTATAAAAAATCAATTACTAAACAAACTTTGGTTACCACAGCAATACTGCTGAATAATTGGTGCACACTTAAAAAATAAAAGTTGAAACCAGGAAAGTCAACACAATATACTATTAACAGCAGAAGATAAACTGTACAGTCTTTCCCAAACTTTTCATAATAAATCAAGGGCCTAGCTAATCTGCAAGGACCTCCAGAGAATTTGCCACAAATTTGGTCATATTATGTCTCAAAAATTCAAATTAACAATGACTGAAAACTATGAGGGTATTTATTCACTGAGTTATTTATTAGACTTCATTTATTGATTTTTTTCTATAGCTCTTTAAAAATTACCACATTACTGTTTTTGACATCAGTTCATACTAACCACTGAATAATCAGTGGCTGATGTCACTGCCCTTTAACTGACTGTAGTTAAATTAATCATCAAAACAATAGTGCCATCTTTTAAATTTCTTACCTCTCTACTTGTTGAGAGAGGTTCTTCAAATCTATAAATATCTCTGAGCCACAGGAACTCTTCCTAAAATGGAACACAACTGCTGTGTAAGTCACCTTGTGAAAAGATAATAACAGAACCCTATGAGTTATTACTTACGTCTGTGTAAAGCAGCTTGAAAGGGTTTTGGGTTGAAAAAAAGTCCATGTCTATATCAAGTATAAAGTTATTTTCAAGAGCAGTTGATTTGCCTGATGGAAGTAATGATTCAAATGCATCTTTGCTCTGTTTATGATCCCTCACTTTGGCAACTTTATTTTCATTATTCTCCACATCTAATGCCTTAGAGACTTTGTTTTCTTTCTCCAGGGCAGCAGTGTGTTCCTTGATTTCTTTTGAACCAGCTTCAAGAGTAAATACAACAAGTTCCAAATCTTTGCAGTTTTCTAGTGATGCTTCATCTGCATAAAGTAGCTCTTCCACAAAATATGTCTCTGGGCATGTCACCCTGAAAAATCAGAAAAAAAGGCTATGCACATAATTTACTGAATAAATACAACTGCTGACTACATGCAGGGCAGTCTGATTTACAAAGACCATTATGTTAAATTGTTGTAACTGTAGTCTAGTTTGAACTTCCTAGGAACCAGCAATAATAGTCAAACAAAACCAGGGTTCTTTCAGGGCAATGCAGAGATGTGGTGGCCTAACATTTAGTGCATTAGACTCTGGGGGGAGAGGTCTGGGTTTGAGGTGCTGCTCTTTGGCAAGGCACTTTCCACTCACAATGCTTCTCTCCACCCAGGAGTATAAAGAGGTACTGGGGACTGTCAAGGAAGTCTGATGAAATGCTGGCAGGTAGTCTGTGACAGACTAGTAGTGCATCCAAGGGGAAGTGGCATTATTTGTGGTCCATTAGAGCTGCATAAACTGGGATTAGCTCTGGCTAGAAGGGCCACCTGGCTTGAGTGCAGACTCAACCTACCTAACTCTTTCAAAGCAGGTTACAGTAAACATCTTTAGGATGGGTTTGAAATAATTATTTTGTGGTAAATTTAATTGAAAAGTGATGGGAGTTTTTTTGGCTCAAAATAGCAATAGAAGAATTGTGGCTTGGAAAATTGCTTTCTTGACCAGTGGATCAATCATTGAGGGTTTTATTCAAGTTTTGGTTATGATTTAGTAATCCTCAGTCTGTGGATGCTCATACGTCTCAACAAGTAAACTGAATTTCCAAGCTGTCAAAACTCATTACTGATGTGACAAGGGTAGTTCAGAATACGTTTTGCCGTTTCACGGACGTGGGTCTCGTCAACATGGATTTTGGTCACTCGTAAAGTGCTCAGGCGTAGAATATTTAAATGTCTTTAACCCATTTTGGACATGCAAAGTCGAAGACGTATCTTACCTAATAAAGCCAGTTTCCTTGTGTTGGCCAACCTTCAAGTGAAATACACCTTCTTTGATTTGATCTGACCACGGTGGTTTGACCCAGATAACCTTATTTATATGTCCTGCAAAGACAGCAGGAAGAATCCAGTCCGCAATACTAATCTCTTCGTAGAGTTTTTCTTGCTCAAACACGGTGTGGCCCTTCATCTTCACGGGAACTGTGAGATCAGGGTGAGAGTCAAAATGAAGGACAGTAACTCCTTCGTATGCGATATGCTTTGATGCAATAGCTCTATGAATATAGTAGAGGACTTCATCGTGATTTTCGCATATCCATATTGGCATTTTAGGATATTTACGTGGCTCTTTCTTGGCTCTTTTTGGCTTGGGAAAATTCTTGTCTTCGTCCACCATTTTGAACCTGATGCCTGGTCACAAGGCAGAAGAGCGCGGTTACTCATTTCATGAAGAAGTTTGAAAAAGGTTGTATCAAAAATGAGAAGGAATGAGGTGTCTTTGGAGATCTAGACTATTGGTTAATTTTGCGATATTCACCTACCCTAGAATCTTTCTGGAGAACTTCGAGAATCATTTTATTCCTCAAAGGATATTTTCCGCTCTCTCCACACCAAAGTATAAAGACAAATTTGCGATTGGATCAAAGAAGAGAAACACAAAGTAAGTTAGCTGAAGCCTGTTAAATGTATTATACTTTTTTCTTTTTGAACAAGAAACTGAAGGGAAAATTTGAATATTTTATGATATATGGAAGGCCACTGAATACTTAAACTGTTTCCTTAGGGGATGAGTGAAAGTTGAAAGTGGGCTGGACAAACCTGAAGACCTAGGTGGGGTGTG